AGCAAGTAGTACAAAACTTCGTAACTTATTTCTCGGAACCACAGGAATTTTACTAGGGGCATTGTTTCTCGAATACTACTCTGATTCACGGGCCGCAATACATAAATATGTTTTAATGCCTATAATTCGTTCGACTTTAGACGCGGAGCAGGCGCATAAATTTGCGGTGTGGAGTGCGAAATGGGGGTTAATTCCTCGAGATAAAGTGCCTGATGATGAACGATTAGTAGTTGAGGTGTGCTCATCAATTGATCTGTGATGAAAAAAAGCCGAATCTTGTATTGAGCTTATTTGTTTATTATATGTAATGTCAATATCTCGTGTGTGTATATTTGTATGGGGTAATGAAATGTATTGATTTTGATAAGGTTTGGGGTAAGAAAATATCAAATCCGGTAGGATTAGCTGCCGGGTTTGATAAGAATGGTGAAGCTGTCGATGGTATGTTTGATTTGGGATTTGGTTATGTGGAGATTGGAAGTATAACGCCAGAACCTCAGGTTTTTATTACTATTTTATTATTATTTTTGGGATTACTTTTTTAGTTGCAATCAATCAAATAATTAAATCAATTGATCACTTTTAAGCCCGGAAATCCTAAACCTCGCGTTTTTCGCCTAAATCCTGACAGAGCAATAATAAATCGATATGGTTTTAACTCTGACGGTCACTATCAAGTATCAACTCGTCTTAATCAACGAATCCGTCGATATCTTTACAATTCTGCTAAATTACATCCCGAAGAAACTGCATCTCTATTATCCACTTCTAGTGACGGATTCGTTTCTTTATCGGACGCATTAGGTACAAATCGGAGTCTCCGAAAGGACCGATTACTAGGTATTAATCTCGGTAAAAATAAAACAAGTCCACCGGATCTCGTGGATGATTATGTGAAGGGAATTAGGAGATTAGGTAAATTTGCGGACGTGTTAGTGGTGAATATTAGTAGCCCGAATACTCCAGGATTACGAGGTTTACAGCGTAGAGGGATACTTGAAAATTTACTGAAAGAAGTAAGTACAAATATACATTTTTGAATACTATTCTTTGTGGTCATCATTGCTTGATTTTATTCTTAACCATCTCATTTATTAGGTGATTGATGCTCGCAATAGTTTAAATGATCCAAAGCCTCCCCTTTTGGTCAAAATTGCACCGGATCTTTCAAATGACGAGTTGCAAGATATTGCACATGCAGCATTACGTAGTGGCATTGATGGACTAATAGTCTCAAACACTACCATCTCAAGACCAGAAACACTTGATAGTGGTATCATAGCAAGTTTCTAAGTCGTTTTTATAATTAATATTCTCAACTTTTAGTGATTGATTTGCTACTTTATGATAACTTTTATAGATCCATTATTAATATCAGAAACTGGAGGTATGTCAGGACCACCACTCAAACCACTAGCATTACACGCATTACGCGAACTCTACAAGCACACACAAGGTAAGTTAACACTTGTAGGGTGCGGCGGCATTAACGACGCACAAGATGCTCTAGAATATGCACGAGCTGGTGCAACCCTTGTGCAATTGTATACCAGTTTTGGGTTTGATGGTGTTGGCAAGCCGAGAGAGATCAAAGATGGGATTTTACGCGAATTGAAGGGAAAACGCTGGGTGGATGTTATTGGTGAGGATTGGAAACATGAATCTAAAGCATGAAAAATAGATTTTTTATTTGTTAAAATAAACGTCAATTTGTGAACGACAATGTCTATCATCATCTCCATCTTGGTCACTCTCCTCCGATCTTCGAACTGTTCTGGGTGTTCGCCATTGTTAGAGTTCATGCGATGTAACAGGTGGCAGATGCTACAGGCATTTATGTCACGATTCCAGAGGATCTGAGAGAGGAATTTGTTAAAAAAGAAA